CAGTGCTCTTTTCATCTACCATTCAACAACTTCAAAGTCACTAACTCCCATGCAATGATGCCTCCTCGTAATACAGTGAGTACAGGGCTTACTCGTACAAACAAACACCACACTCTGATGCAGACTATACATGCTATTACCAATGACGCATTAACATAAAAGAGACCGGAGAACGTCAAAAACATGTTTATCACGAAGATAAAAGGACTGAACCACACTTTCTCAACTGTACTCACGAGCGCTTGTCTAAAGAAGCAAACAGACTAGAGCCGCTGCAGCTGTGAGAGGATGAGAGCAGATGAGTAACCCGCCCAGCAGAGCGCTCGGGCGGGCTTGAAAACACCAGCGGCTGCCTGCCCCCCCCCCTCCACCGGACCTCCGTGCTTCTCACACTCTCAATGTTAAGGTCAGGCAGAGTTCACGCTACACTCAACAGGCACGCCGAGTTGTTTTAATATAGAGAGAGTGCAAGAGGAGATGTTTGTAATGTACTATATTACGCTTTAAGCCTTGTTACAACGCTGTTACCTCTTCAAAAACATTCCCAGAGTTGCGTTATGTTTCATTATGTTTGACTAACCCTTTATTATTAGTCTGTCTACATCTCCAAAGCTCAAAATGCTCTGTTCCACCTCGTGATGTCATGATTTGTCAGTTTAATAGCTATATTCTACCTTTTGTTCAAAAGAGATGAGCAATTCCAGGGCTTAAATATGCTGTTGTGGGAAAATAAATAAATAAATAATCTCTTGATGATAAATAATTAATCCATTTGTGAAGCATAATGAGTTTGTGGAATCCAGACCAAAGTTGTTGTTATAGCAGATATGGACAGGGCCTGCCTCTTCTCAGAGCATCTCCTAGAGCATCTCCTCCGAGTCTTTGCTCCGAGTCCCTCCTCTAGAGTAGTGTTTCCCAAAGACTGTGTCGCAAGAGATATTTTTTGGGTCACCTGATATGCGTGTTGTGCTCTCCTCCTACACCCCAGACTGGAACGCTCTACAAAAACTCAGACAGGCCCACCTAGCTCAATAGAAATATTGACATGTTTTCTATAACTTCTAATCTTTTTGTAATTACTTTATTGACTATTTTGTTCCAATGTTGCTGGTTCAATTGAACGTTGAAAAGAAAAAGAAATGGGCTACATTTAATGTCCAAATAGGCGACTTATGGATCCTTTTATTGCTCCTTCAATGACTGTTTTTCATTGTTTAAAACTTGAGTAACACTAATTGTTCAGAGAGAAACAATCACTCAGTCAACAATAAAATATCCTCATGTTCGAATAAGAAAAAAAAAGTTTGGGAAACCATCTTCAAGAGGATTTGAGCTCTGAGTACTTATACAAAAATACAAGTTACAGACATATCAAAGCAGAGTGACTTGTTTCAGACTTGTATTAATCAACTTACTAACATACAATTGAGGACAGGTCGTACAACAAAGGGCTTCGTGAGTGGGAACAGTTGTGTTCATGGCTGCTCTGGTCTCAGGTAGAACTCACATTCATTTACACAAAGACAGATTGAGAGAAATCTTTCCACAATATAAATTTCCATCACAATACAAATGATTCTAATGAATCAGTGTATGGAGTTTAAAAAGAGCACTTTGTGTATTACCACATGACATCACAAGGTGGAACAGAGGGGTTTCTGTTTGAGAGAAGAAATCAGCCTAAATATGCAAGATTGTGTGTTAAACATGTGTGAATGAAACAAAACACAACTCCAGGTCTGTTTGAGATGAGGAAACAACAGAGATCCAAAAATAGTGTAACATGGGGCCTTCATGGACCTAAAGAAGTCAATTTAACACAGTATTATTATAGTCAGTGATCAGTGTTGGGAAGGTTACTTTAAAAAATGTATTCCTCTACAAATTACAGATTACATACCCCAAAATGTAGTTTGTAACGTAATCCATTCAATTACTTAAAGTGAGTAACGTAATCTGAATACTTTGGATTACTTGATTTACTGTAGAGAAGCAAAGATCAGGAAATCTTCACATAAGATGTTTTGTCTGCTAAAAGAAAATAAAAAGCCCAGACTTTACTTAACCAAATTAAAAATATTATTGATAGAAGAGGAGGAGACACGTCCACACGGCATGGTTTAGTCCTGTTAAATCCTGTTTTAGACCTGGTTTAGACCTAGTTTAGATCTAGTTTAGACCTGGTTTAGTCCTGGATTAGACCTGGTTTTAGTCCTGGTTTAGACCTGGTTTAGATCTAGTTTAGACCTGGTTTTAGTTTAGACCTGGTTTTAGTCCTGGTTTAGACCTGGTTTAGATCTAGTTTAGACCTGGTTTTAGTCCTGGTTTAGTCCTGGTTTAGACCTGGTTTAGATCTAGTTTAGACCTGGTTTTAGTCCTGGTTTAGACCTGGGTTCAGTTCTGGTTCAGTCCTGAATTAGTCCTGGTTTAGACTTAAACAAAAAAAAAAAGGAAAAAAAAAAAAAAAAAGGGATATAGTCCAAAGTGTGAAAACAGGAAAATACCACCATGTAATCCCATTTATTTCAACAAAGTAACTGTAATCCAGTTACCACTCATGGAAACAGTAACTGTAACCGAATACAGTTACTCATAATTTGTACTCTGATTACGTAACTCTGGTGTCAATGATTATACATTTCTATTTAAAATTACCATAAATTCTTGTATATAAAGTTTCAAATACATTTAATCTAAGTTCCAGTCAAAGTAGAAGAATTACGTAAGAAAGTAGAGAATTACGTAATTTATCCTCCACATACATCTCAGTTTAACATTGACTCACAAAAGTTATATTTACTCCATGATCTTCCCTTGGCACACCACTGGCATATCATTATCTAAACTGTGGCATATTTCTGACTAACCCGGTGTCGACTGGCCTTCATAGTCTCACCACACTTGCTTTATAAACCTCCACCTTTGGAAGCATCATCAAAGGGGATTGAACACTCAAAGATCACACTATGTTCAAGCCTCCCACAGTCCTCCCTAAACAGGTTACAGTCAGTCCAAAATGCTGCTGCCAGACTGCTCACCGGGTCCGAAAAGAGAGTCAGAATTGAATACAGAATTGATTTTAAAGTTTTATTATTATTTTATCTAATCACTTAACTCACTCGCGCCACTGTACATCACTGATCTTTTACCCCTCCACACTGCCCACCGGTCTCTCAGGTCAAACTCTCTCAACCTACTGTCCGTCCCACCATCCCGGGGAGGCCGAGCTTTTCTCTGTTGTGGTGCCCAAGCTTTCGAATGCCCCATCTTCATCTCCACCCTACCTCACTTTAAAACCCACCTAAAAACACATTTCTTCAAGATGAGCTCTATTTTAGACTATTATCTTTGTGTATCAGGTAACTCTTTCATGTAATATGTGATATATTTGTTATTTATGTTATTACTTCTCTAAGTTGTGTTTCATGCTATAAACTGGTGCAACTTGTTATGGTTGTTTTTATATGTGCTATATAAATAAAATCACTTGACTTGACTTGACTTCACTTTTGAAATCATACTATGTTCGCTTTTCCCGTCCTCCCAGGCCTGTATTATTGATGGTAAATAAACTTCTCCTGCTTAAAGGTTGTATGGAGGATTATTTTTTAGTTTCAAATTGCCTTGGAAAGTTTAAAATACCATTACAGCGACGCAGCAGCCTTGTAATTATGATGACCAAAACAAAACAAAAAAAAAGAAAGAAAATCTATCAACTGTGGACGTAGTGAGGCCAAATAAACATCAGCCAATAGAAAACGAGGCTCCCTCTTTATCTATTGGATGTTAGGTTGTCAATCAAACTCCCTACGTTTTTAGTGTAACTGACTCGCCGGCCCGTGGGGAGTACGTGGTTTATGCAGCGGTTCTTAGAGGCTTTTTCAAACTGTCGCTTCCTCGCGCGAAATTTGCAAAAAGTTTGTTGAGATGACGAACGAGAATCCAAGACCAGTTCGCCGCAAAAGAAAGTCCGTTTTTGAGGTCGCTGAAAGAAGAAGAGAAGGAGAAAAGGAGCAAAGCCAAACTGAGGTGATTCTTGGAGATTCCTTCCAGCGATGGCGCGACTGACAGACGAAGGGTCTAAAAACTGATGCGTCGGTCGCTAAATTACTTCTAGACAGGAAACTTCAAGAGTAATTCTGAACACGCACTGGCTGTAAACAAGCGTGATTTCTAGAGTAAGGAGGTGGGAGGAGGTGTTTCTACTGAGGGAGCTGTGGAAGAGGAAGGTGGTGTCACGCATGCTCAAGGACTGTTGCTGTATTTCACAACCTTTAAGACGTCCAGTTGGTCTCCAGGTTTTTACTTCCACCCTTTCTACAACAGTATCCACAGATAAACATTATTTTAGCTACGGCGTCAAAGCTTGATTAATTTCACAAACCCCAAATCGGTTGTTCTCTCACTAAAACTGTATGATTCTACTGTGAAAGAAAATCAAAAACTAAAGATATACTGTGTAACTTCTCTGGAGAAGGATACACCCCTTGGTAAAAACAAGGCAAGTATATTTGTGTAGCACAGTTTGTACACAAAGTAATTCAAAGTATTTCTTGTCTCTGTGGAGGGTTTTCAACTGAATCTTCCAATATGGCATTAAAACTGAAAGAAACCCAGCTGCCACTAGGGCAAGTGACTGATAAGATCTACGAAGAGGCGACCAAGTGTACAATAACAACGCATATTCATCAAGGTCTGTTTGAGTAAAAGAAAAAACAAGAGAGATGTCTAATGCAATACCAAGGAACATCCTGTACCAGACAAAACAATGACAGCTTAATGGAGAGAAGCAGAGAAATGACGCAATAAATCTTTAAAACACGTTGAATGTCTAGTCCATCTGTTTTCTAAGCAAGCGTACCACATCACACATCCAGCGCTAAGCCAAACTCTTGATCCATTTTTTCCGTGATATTTTGCACAAGTTTCAGAGTCTCCGTACAGCGCATAAACACCACAGCAGCTGCGGCCTGTATAGAAAAGAGCAGACTTCTCTTTACCTTGTTGGAGGCCATGTCGCTGACGGAGCGGTAGGTCTGGATGGTCTCCAGCTGGTCCAGACACCAGTCCAGCTCCTCCATGGTCTCCATCGCCAACTTCTGGTATGCCTCATCTGTCAATGCAACAACAGCACACACACAAGAGGAGAGGACAGCGTTAGGGCAAAAAGTACGGAGGATTAGTGTTAGATTAATCCCATAATGCAACACACACATGAGAGCAGTCAGATCAGCATGTTTGTACACTTCACGTTCAGTCAAGATTTAATCCAATAATACTTTATAATGACTAATAATACTTCAAAATGACGACTAATGCTTTGTAATGACTAGTACTTCTGGTACGCCTCATCTGTCAACACAGCACACTGCAGAGGGATAGCGCAGGGAGCACAAGAGCCTGTACTAAGTAAGGATGCACCGATACAGCTTATTCTGTACTGAGACCGATTTCGATACTGTTGCTGGTTTTTAGTAGCCTGATTCATCAGCTGGTTTCACTTCGTAGAAACAGTCAGACCTCGCAGTGTTAGAATTCATTCACTGAGCAGTAGGCGGGTACTTTTTATCATTTAACTAATTGCTGCTATTTGGTAGTCACGTATGTAATGCGCCGCTAATGGGGATAACTGGTATATTGAAGCTTTTCCCAAATCCCGTAGGAAGAAGGGCAATATCAAGTTTTCCCTTGATGAAATTCACCAAACATTCTCTTTATTCTGCCTTTAAATCCTCAATCTTGGGAATCATTGACAACACTGAATATCTGACTCTGTGCTGGTTGGCTGGTCTGACTTGGACTTCAGGAGTTCTTGCAAACCGTCTAGTGTATTCCGATTCCTGACCTAGTTGCTGGAGAGAAATAAAAATAAGCGGAGGCACTAAATGGCACCAGCCTGGCTAGGTTTTCAGTAGCCTGATTCATCAGCCGGTTTCATTTCGTGGAAACTGACCTCTGACCTCGCAGCATTAGGATTCATTCGCTCGACAGTAGGCGGGTATGTTTTTTATTTAACCAATCGCTGCTATTTGGTCGTGACATATGTAATGCACCAAATCCCGTAGGAAGAAGGGCAATAACATCTTTCCCCTTGACAAAATTCACCAAACATTCTCTTTGTTTCAGCTTTAAATCCTCGATCTCGGGAATCGTTGCCAACACAAAATGTCTGTCTTCGTCTACATCCATCTCGACCACTTTGTTTACTCTTGTGCTGTACCACAAAAAGGACCCAGACAGACGCTTGAGTTTGACGTCATAACTTCACAGCTCTTCCCTTATTGGCCGGTGCGTGGTCTACAACTTCTGGGGTTCTTGCAAACCGTCTAGTGTATTCTGATTCCTGACCTAGTCGCTGGAGAGAAATGAAATTGAGCAGAGGCACTAGATGGTGCCAGTCTGGCTCGGTTTTCAGATGACTTCACAGCATTTTATAGACCAATATTAATGAATACAGAGGGGGGCAGCTAAAATGAATATGGTTCAAAAGCAAAATGATGTTGTAATACAGTGAGTTTAGTGAATGATTGAAAATTTGACATTTGTAAATGTATCTTTGTTATATTTCATGGCAAAGTATAATGTAATCAATAGTGAAATCTGACTCTTGCGTCCCATCTGGTAATATGATATCCTCACGCTCTAAAATCTGAAAACCACAAACAGGCTCTATTCACGTCAAAAACCAGGAAGACGTTTGGAAACATACAATGACAACTTCCAGTAGGCTTTGTTTCACAATAGTAAGTCTGACAAAATCTCAGAAAAGTGAGAAAATGGCTCAGTTCTCTTCATCTCCATGTCATTGTGGCATTCAGTTATGTTAGACTAACATAACCCCAGTGTCGAGCCTGGTGTCGGGAACTAACCGGAAGTTGTCATCGCGTATTTCTAAACGTCTTCCTGGTTTGTGACGTAAACGTGAATAGAGCTTTAAGTATCTGCTGGAAAACAATATCAACCGATACCAGAGCAGAAAGTGAAAACAGCATTTATTTCAACAAAAACAAAAAAGAATAAAACTAAAATAAAAGTTCAATAAATAAAAGTTTAAGTTAAGTTAAACATTATGAGAATTTCTGAGCAACAACCCGAGCGATTTTTTGTAATGAAGACATTGTGTGCACTGGAATGATCAGAAGGTGTCTTGTGAAGCTATATGCACTTTAAAAACACAGAGGAGAACACTTGGATTACACAAAATGAGTCTTAGTATTAGAAAAATGTAAAATACTGTATCTAGATGTACCTAGAAAATGAATCCAACTGAATATTCAAACATGACAAGTGTGTTTATGTGCACATATGTAATTTGATTCAGCTAAAGTTCCAAAACAGATCACATATCGCTGTGTTTATGTGCTGCTCGTTTTGAGTGACAGCTCACGTGACGCGCCCGCTCACTTGCACCCCTCTGCTCCACTCGTTTACATACAGCTCTAAGCCCCGCCCACAACAAGAAACTAAACACGCCCCCCTCTCTCTCCTCCCCTCTCCCCTCTCCTATCCCCTTTCTCCCTCTCCCCTCTCCCCTGGCTCGTTCTCCTCTCCGTCTTCCCTCTCTCCTTCCCTCTCCCCTTTCTTCCCTCTCTCCTCTTCTCTCCCTCTCTATCCCCCTTTCTCTCCCTCCCTCTCACCTCTCTCCTCCCCTCTCCCCCTTTCTCTCTCTTTTCTTCCCTCTCTCCTCTTTTCTCCTTCTCCCATCCCCCTGTCTTTCTCTCCCCTTTCTCCCCTCTCTCCCTCTCTCTTCTCTCTCCCATCTCCTCCCCTCTCTTCTCTCCCTCTCTCCCCTCTCCCTTCCTCCTTTCTTCCTCTTCTGTCTCCTCTCCTCTCACTCTTCTCTTCTCTCTCCCATCTTCCCTTTCTCCCATCTTGTCTCTCCTCCCCTCTCCCCCTTTCTCTCTCCCCTTCCTCCCTTCTCACCCTCTTCTCTCTCCCTTTCTTCCCTCTCTCCCCTTCCTCCCTTCTCACCCTCTTCTCTCTCTCTTTCTTCTCTTGACCTTCTCCTCTCTCCCCTCTTCCCCTTTCTCTCTCCCCTCTCTCCCACTCTCTCTCTCTTCTCTTCTCTCTCCCCCTTCCTCTCCCCTATTCAACTTTCTCTTTCTTCCCTTTCTTTCCCTTTCTTTCTTCCCTCTTCTCTCTCGCTCTTCTCTTCTCTCTAATCTCTCCCCCTTCCCCTTTCTCTCTCCCCTCTCTCCCACTCGCACCTCTCTTCCCCTCTCTTGTCCCTCCTCCTCTCCCTCTCTCTCTCCCTCTCTCTCTCCTTTCTCTCTCTCCTGCACACTGACAGATGTCCTTTAGCCCACATAAGAGCGAGCTGATATCGCTGCACTTCTCCACGTCGGAGTCACAGCGACCGGAGACACCTTTGCAGTGACATCATAAACGGCTCCAATATATAGGACTAATAATAGGCCTTTGAATAAGCCTCGTATTTTTGGAGCCTGAATGTTGTTTATTTCATTGAATAATTAATCCCATACACGCACTTAATGATGTCACGACGCCAAATTTGAGTGTGATTATGTGAGAAGATTATGTGAGAAGAAACGCCACGCCACAGTTTTGCGGTTACTCCCAATTATTGACACCATTACTAGTGAAATCTGTCAGTTTCATTCACATGTCAAACACAACTTTATATTCAGGCAGTTTTTTTTTCTTTTTTGAGGAGAAAATGGGCCTACAAATACATCCTGGAAGCAATATTTCAATAAAGTCTTTCTAAAAACAGTTTTGCTTTGTAATATAATTTGACTTAGACAAACTTTATTGAACCACAAAGGACATTATTTGGACACAGTAGCTCACACATCACAATCTAATATAAGAACAAAAAGAGAAAAATAAATAAATAATATATAATATAAATAAATAAATAATAATATACATAAATAAATAATAAATACATAAATAAATAAATAATAATAAATAATATATATATAATATATATAATATATATATATATATATATTTTTATTTTTCTCTTTTTGTTCTTATATTATATTGTGATGTGTGAGCTACTGTGTCCAAATAATGTCCTAAATTATAATAAATAAATAGAAAAATAAGTAAATAAATAAATAGAAAAATAAGTAATAACTCATAATAATCTCAGTTATATACAAGAGGTCATAGGAATTAGGAAGGATGTTGATTGACAGGATATAGAGTTATATAATTGCATGTTCCAAAGCATAGCGTATCATCCCATAACGTTTATGGTGGAGAATAAATAGAGCATTCTGTTAGTTTATGGCATAAACTAACAGAATGCTCTATTTAATCTCCAATATAATATTTAAATGAGTTACTAATCAATACTAAAACTAGTATCAAAACTATACTAACCAAGTAGAGGTGTGCAAAATGATCAAAATATCAATATGTCGTATCATTCAATGCATTGTTTTCCAAAGAATGGGTCGCAAAAGAGTATGTATGTATCGAGATATGTATCGTATCGGCAACTTCTTAATGATACAAAGCCCTATAAACAAACTGTACCACTGAAGGATTACACAGATATAACCCTGCAGAAAGTACTTTGAATCACTGTAAAATCACTTTATGTTGTCTTATTACCATTGTGGGATCGGAATCTGCATTGAGTATTGAGTCTATTTCTTATTATCAAAATCGAGTTTGAAATTTTAGTTTTACTCCACAGAATCACCCAAAATCGGCAACTCCAGCTTTATCTAACCCTCCTGAAGTCTATTTAAAAACACAACATTTAGAGCAGGTTCTGTGAGCACGGTTCATCTCGGTGCCTTCGGTCTCTCGGGGGCCCCCCTCTTCATGTTTTAATGAGTCTTTGGAGGCATTTCTCCTCGTTTGGGCCCAGAGCAGATATTAAACAGCTGCTTTTCAAACACGTGCTGCTCTTTTTCTGAGCACATGCACCAGACCACATCAGACACACGCTCACAGGCAAAACACTGGGAACGCCAATACTGGTCTGACAAGCAGCGACGCCGTCTGTCACGTGTCGGATCTGGGCTAAGTAATGACAGTAATTATAAGTAGTAGTACTGGAACTGGCAGGAGTAGTAGCAGTAGTGTAAATAGCAGTAGCAGTAATAGTTATAGTGGTAGTAGTAGTAGTAGCAG